GTACGTTGTTTGTGCATGGTTTAATATGGTTAATTGGCCATTTTGTCTATTAAAAATCATTGGCATTATATACCTTTTAGATATAGCTCAAGGTTCGACAGACTTTTCAGAAAGGCTAGATGAGACTTTCAGGAGCAGAGTATGAATTGGGGGAACTATATGCAACAATTTATAATTAGCACATATTAGTCTATTTAGAATGAAAGTAGGTAAATTAGTAAATAGGGGAAAAGTAACTCCTGAGTTGGACAGTAGCAAAGAAGTGTATGCAGGTGTGACATTTACTATTTCAAGAGATACTGTACCTGCACAATTGAAAATGTGTCTTGTGTAGGTCTAGCTGAGAATTTAGCATATATTAATTATATGCTGAGAACACCACATCACAAGTTTGGATGAATTGTATATATTCTGAGCTGGTACAAAAGGGAAATATAAATGTGGACTGCACATTTAACAACATAATAGATGAAGAAAATACAATAGATTTATTAATTATATGCTGAGAACACCACATCACAAGTTTGGGAATTGAATTTATATATTCTGAGCTGGTAGAAAATGTAAATGTGGACTGCACATTTAACAACATAATAGATGAAAAAATGCAATCGATACATGAGGGGTAGTGACTGAGGCTGGATTTTTCAGGCAGAATTGCATTGTAAATGGTGAGCAGGGTGGCAAGCCAGTTTACATGTCCTCAATATATCAGATACAATCAAACAAATAGGAAGTAATAGAGGTTTGGTCAAGTATAAAAAGGCCCCTCCAACTTCAAGTTCACTTCGTAGCATCTGGTATGCCCTTCTATCCAGAACACTTGCCATCAACCTGTGTGATCCAGTTGTGTCATGGCAATCACATGGCCAAAAACACGGGCAGTGGGTTACTTAACCCCTACGATCTGGATGATGTTACAGTCCCCTATTGGAAAAATCTGGGTTGAAGGCCAGGTGACATGAACATGCTGTCATCAGGCAAAATGGCTGTGGGCGAACTTGCCGTCATGAGGGAAAGCCAGGGTGAAGAAAAAAACTTGCCATGAGTGCACAAACTTCTTGGAGTGTGACTCATTTGGCATTTAGAAAGGGACTTTTGCGTTATTCCCATTGATAAACGAGTGTGAAATGTAAGGTTACGTGTAAGCCATGACTGGAAGAGGAAAAACGCCATATATATGCTGCACACTGTATTCTTGGCCGCTGTGACCGGCAGCGCTGGTTGTATTACTGAAAATTGAAAATTGGAAAAGAATATGACATATATGACACAAATGAGCAAATGTTCCTTTTTTTTTTGCATCGAGTTATTTACTATGTAGAGAGGTGATATGGAGTCTGTGCAAAGAAAGTAAGCTATTACCATCTGGATATATCAAATGGAAAGGAGATTAGAAAAAAGCAAAAAAGCAAAAAAGTTTGAGCAAAATAACTTTGCAAAGGGGAGTCACAGTCCTGTCACTGCTCATGGGTGTTCTTTTGCACCAGGCCTATGTGCTGCACGCCAGGGATAGTGGCCACTTATGTAATTCACAGCCCGTATTTTCAGTACAGTGATTTTCATGATGCAACCAGATCCAACAGGTCTATCCCAGGTGTGCACGAACACTTGTGATTGGTGCCAAGACTCTGTGCCTCACCTTTTCAAAGTTATTTTGAGTAAACTTTTTTAACTGTTTTGCCATTTTCCAATGTCCACATGTCTTTTGATTTCCTTTATCCAGATAGCAATAGAATATTTTCCTTGCACAGGCTCCTTATCATCTCCTTATGTTGTGAACACTCAGTGCAATAAAAATAAAATGTAACATTTTTCATAATTTTCAATTTTCTGTAATACAACCTGCGCTGCCCCCTTCTAAACACCAAATGAGTCTAATCACACTCAAAGAGGTTTGTGCTCTTATGGCAAGTCTTTTCCATCACCCTGGCCTTCGCTCATGATGGCAAGTTTGCGTCACCAGCCCTGTGTCCATTTTGTCTGATGAAGGCATATTCACGTCATCCAGCCCTCGACCCAGATTTTTCCATGATGGAATGGCCATGTCACTCAGATCAAAGGAGTTAAGAGACAGGAGCATGTACCTCAGATACACTAATCAAATTTGGCAGTTCACACATTGGCAATCAGAAGTAGAAATTTTGGAACTGGAAGACGGTGTATATTGGCTGGCAGGTTTGACAGAAAAAATTTATGAATCTTATGTGTTTGGTTTAAGTAAAATATATAATTAGGGGAAGAGAATTAAGGCAATCAGCATGAAATATATTTTGAAAATGTAGATTTTTTTATTGGTGCCATACCTATATAGATGTTGGACTCGGACTTTATAGAACCTTATTTATATTATGCTATATATTTTGGCACACTTATATGTATCCCTCCCCATACCTTGCTCATTGTTGTCGTGGGAGGGCTTAGGAAATGGGGACTGAGACCCAATGTAGGGGATCACCCCTACCTTGGGCCTCAGCCCTCACCTCAACTACTTTTGCTT